GTTTTTTAATCGATTTTTAAAAAAAAATTTTGGTTGATTAATCGATTGCAATTTTTGGTCCGATTTGGATCACTAGTTACAGAGCCATTTCTTGAAAAAAGAAACTAAACTTTTTCTTGCCTTTTTTTCATGAAACAAAATACTAGTTTTTTTCCTTGAAAAAAAGGCAAGAAAGGAAGAATTTGGTTTTCTTTTTTCAAGAAATGGCTCTGTAACTTTGTTCGTAGAGACGTAATACTGGTCTTTGCGAAATTTTGACCAAATCTATCGAACCGTTAAAGCTGTGCATCTATTTAACCTTCGTAATAATTGTTATAAAAAATTATAAAATTATCATTTGTCTAAAAATTTTTATATATTACCACATATAGTTTTGATTTACTTAGTCTACCGTACACCCCAATGCAGCATGTGAACAAGGTTAAAATGAATAGATCGGTTTGTCCCTGTAATCACCTGACTTGTCGTTCTTTTGAAATTTTATTGGCTAATAACTCAAAATTTGATTTGTCACATGCATAATTTGGCTATCTTCGCATCATAACGATAATCCTGGACACCCTAATTTGTGCATATGATACACGTGTAAATCGGGCGTTACTTTGGAGGCAATTGTACGGCTTCCTTATTAAAGTAACTATTTTCCGTCACAAGAATGAATTCGCAACCATTGGATCAATTTTTTCTTCCATACGCTATTTGTTACATCTGTCAATCGAATTTCGCATTTTTGATAGACAACACAATAGATGTGGAATTCAAAACTTCCTTTGATCAGCGCTTTCATGATTTTTGTAAACCAAAGACTTGTGTATTGTTGGATATTGTTGATCGACAGTCATACAAATGCTTGAATATTTACTTACACATTTGCACTTGCCATTAGAAGCCACTTCTAACTTCGAAAAAGCAAAATGAGAAATCAAAGAAAAGTTTACTTAATCATAATTTCATCAATGTTTTTCATAATTTTTATGTATTTAATTATATTATTAAATCAAATTTTTATTCCAAGCCGTCAACGGTTTTTTGAATCTCAATATATTGATCCGATGAAAGATACATCATTGTTCTTGAAAAACGTCTCACGAGTCAATGCTGTTATAATAGTTCTTGTAAGAAATAAAGAGATACATAAGTTATGCGAGACAATGAGATATTTTGAAGATCGATGGAATAAAAAATATAATTACCCTTATGTATTTTTAAATAATGAAGAATTTACTCAAGAATTTAAGGTTTTAACAAAAAGAATGACTCATTCTGAAACATATTATGGTAATAATTAATAATTATAGTCGCGGCTGATACTTAGATTTTGATCTCTATTTCAATCTATTAAACTTACTAAAATTCACTTTTT